ATTCTTGCAAAATTCAGATATTTGTTGGAATTTAATGAAACTTATTCAGAAATTAATTAAATTATTTTTTACATGTCAACACCTCTCAACCCCGCCAGCAATTTTCTGAAATTTGAAGAAATTCTTTTTTATAGTTCTTAATTTTTATATTTGCTATAAAGACAAGTTCTTGGAGAATTGAAATCATCAAATGATTTGGGTCAAACAGACCCCCAGTTATAGAAAGTCTGTTCTGAATTGTAAAATAAAAAAATGTAATAATACATTATTTAATTAGAAAAGCTTTTGATTGCTTTTATGTATAAAATATATTATAGGCACAATTGTCTTAAGAAAAAATTTTCCATGAATAATAAATTTTTACAAGAATTTTCAATTTTAATTAGAATAATTTATGAACTTTTAAATCCTTTAAAATTCTGTATTAATTTGTAGCAATCAAGTGATATTGTTATTAAATTAAGACTGTATTTATGACTCATAAATGGAAAAGCTCATGGTAATTCAACAATCTCAATATTTTAAAAATAAATTTTAATTTATTTTATGTGTGTATAAATGTGTTAATTTTTGTAAATACAGATATCCAAATGTGACATTATCAGAAAATAAGAACAGTAACTATATTAAAATTTATTGGTAATTTTCTAAGATTTCCTCAAGTGTATTCATAAATTAGACTATAAAGCCAAAGTAGCTAAAATTCAATAAAATATTAGATTGACTAGCAGTAGAGCCTGGCGTTGCCCGGGGATGTAACAGTAAGAGATAGATCAAGTATCGACCATCATAAAGACTGAAAAATAAAATTGACAAAGATTATTGTTTAAGGTTGACAGACATGCATGTCTTAATTAGTTTTTTTTGTTTTGTTTTTTTATGTATTGGTCAAACACAACCACAAACAAAAACATTGTTTTCAATCGTTATGAGTCTATCGATTGAATAGAATTTTATTATAAACAATTGTCTTGTAAATGGAATTTTTAAAGCATTCTGAATGTAAAAATAAAGAAAAAAGTGTGCAAGACAATAAGAATCACTACTTGCCAAAAAAAAAAAAGAAGTGAAGTTTTGTTGAAATCGGTTGAAAATTGTAGGAAATCCGATCCCATATATAAACGAACACACACACAATCTGGGTTTTATAATAAGTATAACTCGATATGAGTTGTCCCCCTTTCATTCTCGGGATGCCTCTTAATCGTGTTTTCAAATTGATTTCGTGCAAAAACAATTGTGTTTTTCCAATTTTTGGTACTGTCAGAACTACCGCAAGGTAATTTTACGTAGTCCTGTGAAGTTTTGTTGAAATCGGTTGAAAAATGTAGGAAATCCGATCCAATATATAAACGTACAGACACACACACACACAACCTGGGTTTTATAATAAGTATGATTAGAATATTTTCATAAATTTTTAAGATTACTGAGTAGGTAAAAAAATGATATAATAAAGATGTTCACATTATATTCACCAAACTAAGACATTATTTAATAAAGATTTGAATTTGTGGATTTTTTTCGGTGGGTCAAGTAGCAATCAATTAAATTTAGACACATTTTCAATTGAGAGATATTTCACTTATTATGACAATAGTCTGAAATATACAGGAAAAGAATTGGGAAACATAGATAAATGTACCTACAATAAGACAGAATACCAAAAGGATGTTTTTTCCCATTATTGTAACTGAGTTATCAAAAACAACAGTAGAAAACCGGAATTGGTTTAACAAGTTTATTAACTTTTGGTCCAGGGAAATATAATGTAGAATAGAAACTAGGAAAGAGAATGTTTAGCAGTGAATGAGTGTTTTCAACACAAGCTACTGCTGCTACTCCTCTTGATGTAGGAGTCTTTTTTATGTCTTTCGTCCAACAGTCAAATCCAAACTTGTAGGGGAAATATTCTCCCTCACAATCCCCATGACATCAATTTTTAACTAACTTCAAATCTTCAGCAATGTTCATTGTTTTAAAAAGTGATGATTAGAATTGGAATAAAACCTAAAAATATGAATGTTAATTTATACATTTTCTTTGTTTATGAGAATTGACAAGAAAAATTATAAACATTATTTATTAGATGGTTTATTGGATTGGTTGGTAAAACATCAGCTAATTACAAATTGATTCAAACTTTATAAAATGGTAAGTAATAAGGATTTCCTTTTAGTTGGTTCACATATTTTACTAAATATTTATGAATTTGCGAATAAAAATTTTTTTCGCATTTATTTAGTACCTCCACTTTTTTGATAAAAAAGAGCATGATGAAAAAAGACCCCAAACTTAATAAAAACAGTCAAAATTTATTGTCAAAATGTTTATGTTATTATTAAGAGGAAAGACCAAGTTATTTTTTTTTATTATTTTATTAATATTTTTAATCCTTTTTAGCACATTTGAAATTTTGATTTAAAATCTTTTTTTTACGTCAGATTAGTATGGAAAATTAGGATCTTTTTTTGCAGTAAAAAACAATGTTTTGGAAATTCTTGCAAAAATCAAATAATTGTTGGATTTTAGTTAAATTTTCAGGACTGATTAACAAATGAATTAAATTATTTTTTTATTTTTTTTTTATAAAAATTTTTTTTTCTGATTATAATAATTACAGACAACCATACATTATCAAACAATAAGAGGGATAACTGTATTAAATTTAAAACCAAAATTTCTAAAATTCATTAAATCATTAGATTACAATGAATAGTTTCCTAAATTTTTAAGATTACTGAGTAGTTAAAAATTATTTATAAAAGGTGCTTAGGTTATTTTCCTCAGTTATTTTTTACTACAGATAAAGTCTCCATGGTACATTAGCTGTCATCATGCTGTCAAACATGTCAACATGGCTACTCTTGGGTTAAAAACACAGCTACTGTTGGACTAAAAATGTGTTTCTGCAATATTTTAAATATAAGTAAATAATATTTGTTCAAATAATTATAAGATTAATTATACTTTAAATGACTTATTTTGTATGTATAAACATACTGATTTTTGTAAATATGGATGTCCATACACATCATTATCAGGAAAAATAAAGCCAAGGTACCTAAAATGCTATAAAACATTAAATTATGGAGAATATTTTCCTTAATTTTTAAGATTACTGGGTAGTTAAAAATGGTATAAAAAAGGCTCCTACAATTAATTTTTACAGATATATCATCCATAGAAAACTTAAAGTAAATAATATTTATTTCAAATCAATTTAATTATTAAATCTTCCAAAAATAAAATATACTTTTCTAAAACTCTACTTGAGGAATATTAGCTGATTTAAAGTATTTTAAATCAGCTAATATTCCTCAAGTAAAGTTTCAGAAAAGTATATTTTATTTTTGGAAGATTTTTTAATAAAGAGAATTACATTGTGATGAAAGACAACTTAAAAAGGGCACCAATCAGCCATTTTAGAAAGAAAACGAAAGAAGAAAATTCCTTCCAGTCGATTTACATTAGTTTTCGAAATGCAGCAAAATATTTTGCTTATTGGAAATATTAAATTGAATCTATTAGCTTGGAATTAAAACAAAAATAAAAATTTCAAGAAAAATTTTCCATTTTTAAAAATTAATTTTAAACATTAGGTATTGTTTCTTTTCTGTTTTTTTGTGGATGTACCTACATTCATTTCTTTATAAATTGGTAAATGATAAATATTTCATTGCATTAGTTTTAATTGTATTAATGTTTAGAATGTTGTAAAATATAAAATTATTTTTGTAAATAAACAATCCAATAAATAATGTTTAATATTTTTGTTGTAAATTATTAAGAACAAAAAAAAATGTATAAATTCACTTTCATCATATATTTAGCTTTTATTACAATTCTAATCATCGATTTTTAAAATAATAAACATTGAAGACTGAAGACTGAAGGTGGTCAAAAATGAGGTGTCATGGGAAAAAAAATATCTTATATCAATAATGTTTGGCCATGTTTACCTACAGTTATCTCCCCTGAAACTAATCTATTGATTTTTCATTCAGTTTTTAGTGATACTGTTTTTTTACTGATTATTCAACTAAAATAAGGCTCAAGAGTCACTCAAGGTAGAAAGTTGCTGAAATAGGTTGTTGCATGAACATAAGAGGATATAAGAAGTACAGATTATCAGGATAGGTAGGAAAGATAATAATTGACCCAAGACTTAAAGAGGTTAAGTTTGTAGCGATCATGGAAGCATCCTCTTGGGAGTTTGTTTGGGAAAGTAGAGTTTCTTGGAAAGAAGCAGTGCAAATGGAACTTCCATCTTACTAAAGAAATACAAAGAAAATGGGAGTGATATGCCTAAGTGTACATTGGATGGCAGGTCATTTTTTTTAAGCATTTCATCCCAAACAAGGGGTTATAGAGAGTGGGAGCAAGAGTAAAGAGGCATGATAGAGGAAAGGATGAAGAGAAGGACAGGGAATTAAATGAAGGCATCTGGAGATGTTGATTGACATTGCATTTGAATATTTGAAGATTATAGCAATCAGGGAAGCAAGTAAAAGGAAAGGAGCTCCACAGATGGCAAGTGTGAGACATGAAGCTGTTGGAGTAGAAGAGACGGTTACATTTAACCATTTTGACAGTGAAAGGCTGTGACTGAGATGCCAGCCTAGCAGCACGTTTAAATTCATGCAGTTTGGGAACCAGCAAAAGTAGCTCATTGGAGCAGTTACTGTGAAAGTATTTGTAGAAAAGCACATCAGTGAGAGAGTGACAGTAAATGAGATGCCAGATCAGGGCCAGTTACACTGCATATCTGTCTCTGTGAAGCTCTTAACTATTTGGACTAATGGATATGTTGGCAGTCGTATACACTCTATGAGTGCTTCCTCATTTATTTATTTCATCAGCCAAAAAAGAAAAACTCATCTGATCTTGGATTAATGACATAAATTCCAAAAATAAGAAATACAAACTCTAGAGACAAAGATTTTTAAAGGGAACAACATTTGAAAACATTGTATATAAAATATTTTTTTTCCACTTACCTGTGTCATAACAACGAAGGGAATAATCAGCCAAGGCGACAAGGAATTCACTTTTCTTCCTCAAAGTATAAGCAATTGCAGTCAGTGGAATCTTTGTTTTCTTTACTAAAGTCATCCTGAAAATGGAAACAGCTAATATCTGAATTTTTTTTAAAACAAATTTACAAAACATTTCTTTAATAAAAACACTAACCAATGCATTTTCATGGCCAAAGCATTTTAATGGAGAAGAACCAATGTCCAAGACATTTTCATGGAAAATAAAATATCCAATGTATTTTCCTGGGGAGGGGACCAATGGCTAATGTATTTACGAGGGTAAAAAAAACATTGTCCAAGGTATTTTCATGGGGGTACCAGTGGCCAGTGCATTGTAATGAGGATAAACCAGAGATCCATGTATTTTCATTGGGCTGTAAGACCCACTTAACAAAAAATAGTAAAAAATTGGCTAATGTATTTTCAGGAGGGGGACCAAAGGCTAATGTATTTTCATTGTGAGTGGGGACCACTGACCGAGGCATTTCATGGGAGAAACTAACAGCTAATGCATTTCACTGAGGAGAGGGAGAAACCTTGTCAAACACATTTTCATGGGGGGGGGGAGGAACGACTCATTTTCTTAAAAAAAAATTGCTGGTCAAAAGCATTTTCAAAAAAAGAATCGATGACCAATTCATGTTTATAAGAAAAATTGGAAATTCAGAAAGCTGTAGACTTGTCTGAGAGTACAGCAGCTGAAATGATGGGATGAAAACAACAAAGATGAGGATCTTTGTCCAAAATGAAATTGATAGACGACTTATGCTAACCAGAATTGGCACTGACTTGGTTAAGAATGATACTTACCAATTTCTACTGAGGTTGAAAGTGTAAATATTTCCCTGGTGATCTCCTGCAATAAATCTTTCGCCAACCCTGTCGAAGGCTGCATGGAGGAAACGGATGTTGCGGGATGGAAAAGATGTGCTGGTTTCTAAGACTTTGTGACTCACTCGAACGATGATTCTGAAGTTGTCAAATACAAAAACAGGTATTGTTTCTTTCAGGTACACAAAGCCAGTTGATAAAGTACAACAAAAAGAATATCATGAAATATTAGGAAAGCTTGATCAACATGGAAAGGATATATAAATGATCTATAATCCATATTGGGGGAAAACAGCTTGTATGCAATCAGAAATCAAATTCAGTGAGGACACCAACATAGAAACAAAGTGCAACGACAATATGTTTTATCACTGGAATTATTTCACCTGTACAGCAGGATGATTCTAAGAAAAGTAGGTTTGGTTTGGTTTATTTTGTTTTACGGAATATCAACCTCAATGGATTATTTAATGCTGATAAAATTTTTAGGATAGATCCATATGAATAGAATATGTATTCTTTGGTTTAAATTGGTTTGGTTTATTTTGTTTTACGGAATATCAACCTCAATGGGTTATTTAATGGTGACAACATTTTTTATTGCTGGTAATATTTTGTTTTGTCAAAAATCTATTTCTAGTAATATTTTTCTTTCAAAATTGTATTGCTGGTAATAATTGTTTTCAAAAAAGTATTGCTGGTAATAGTTAACTATTTGCCCATAGCTGGGACCCTAACAGGTGCTACCACCCTGGTTCAGGGTGGACCTGGTAACACCAGCAATTAAGAGGTGGTTCCATGCTCCTCAAAACCTGATCAGAGGCCTTGATGCTGGATGTAGTTTATCGTCTTACCGAGGACGCGGATGTAGTTTATCGTCTTACCCAGGACGATAAGAAAAGTAGGGGATCTACCAGGATTTATTGTCAGCTGAAACAGTTTTAACAATGGCCTATTAAAGTGTTGGTTTGTGAATTTAGTGATATACTGATTGCAAATTTGACCCTGGGTTTTGGCAGCATACTTGAATGGTGGATGGACATTTGCCTCCTGGACAATTGCATACCTCTGCTAATGTTTTGAAGTTACCAGTTTTTTTAAAGAGTCATTTAATAAAGAAATTTGCACACCAATGCCTTTAATTACTCTAAAGAAGCTGAAAGATAGTTACCATAAATAAAAAAATAAAAAGGAAAAAAAATTCTTTTTTAAAGCAAGAGAAAAACCAAGCTAGCAGTGTCAGTTTACTCCAGCAGTGTGTACCACAAACATCTAATAGATTCTGGATTTTATAGATTATATTTTTATTTGGAGCCCATGGCTAAGTTCTGAAAAATCAAACACTGGTGGAAAAATATTTGTGGACAAGGAAAATTACAGCTACCATTATCATCAGAAAAATGCTGATGGAACAAAAACATACTGACAATGTGTAGAGCAGGGGTCGGCAACTCATTCGACCCCGCGGGCCAGATCGTATTATAATGACAGGTCGCAGGGCGGACGAAGGCCGTTAATGAAAAATTAAGGAAAATTACATATGCAGACCCCTGTCAACCTAAATATTTAAAACCATAATGAAAATAAATATTGAGACATCAGAAAAACAAAAGAAAATCTAAAATTAAAAAACACCTAACAAAAATTACTTTCCTCAAGGAACGTCAAAATACTACAAAGTGAAAAAAAATCAACCGAAGTGAAATGGATGACATTATGACGTTTAGGTTTGAAACTGTTATTGAAAATTGTTCCACAAACGAACCACACACACACAGCAAACAAAAATGAAGCACATATACCCATACATACGAGTACAAATAGTTGCAAATATACACTTACGTACATACACATGCGGTATCATCCACACATTCATGAGGCATGTATGTATAATGCGCGTATGTTTAACTGTCTTTAGATTTCTGCTACTTCGCATGTCAGTCCCTCCCTGGCCTCTTTCACTTTATCATTCCTTTCGCTTCTGTTATCTTTTAATGTAGCCAAGGGTCATAACAAATATGTATCCATTATTTGACATTAAATGTAGGCAACGCAACTTGGTAAAATAAGTCTCATGAAAGATAACTGGCAGATAGTCTAATATTTTTAGTGCACCAAGATGTGTAAATATTCTATGGAAAATGACATATAACAAATTTCATTTGAAGGTCGTCTCTCATGTTAAAAATAAAGTCATTGGTAATCAGGCTCGCTTGCCAACCCTTGGTGTAGAGCGATCTTGCAACAGTCTTAATCTGTCATTGCATTTTAAAGAAAAATAAACTTGTAATTTTTTTTATTTTATTCCCTTTTTAAAAATTTATGATTACTACCTATGCTTTTTTTCAAAATTTATGGTAATTGCCTTTAAAAGCTTCAAAAATTTATCAGAGGTATGCAATTGTCTGGTATGCAATTATCCAGGGATGCAATTGTCTGGTATGCAATTGTCCAGGGATGCAATTATCCAGGGATGCAATTGTCCAGGGATGCAATTGTCTGGTATTATCCTAGAATGGTACTTGAACTCGATTAATATGAGCAAACAATAACTGAGCAATGCTAAAACAAAAAAATAAGAACTAAACAATATATCCCTAGATATGGGCAGTGGAATGAGAACAGTCTACCCCTCATAGATTAAATAAAGGGTTCAGTTCAGAATTCCCTGTAGGTTACCCAGATCGATATACAACTGAGGAAGATTGAAGGACACAACTAAAATGATGTATTAACCCCATTTGTGTCCAGAGTATCAGTAAGATAACAAACATCTGGAATGAGTGAAGGTATAATGACATGAGCTTAGGGGTTAAAATGAACAGTTGATTTACCCATGCCAAGAAGATTAAAGGAGGATGATAATGTTGAGGCAACACAAAGGTAATTTTAACAAAATAAGATAAGAAATTTATTTATGAATTTACACGCATGATGTTGTGTCACTAGTTTCAGGAGAATAAATCAAAAGTCTCTTTGTATTGATTTTTTTGATTGGGCATAATTATTTTTTTTTCTTGTGTTCTTTTCTTTTGCATTTTTTTTTTATAATAGATGTTATGCATGAAGCCTTCCTGATTTTTGGTAGTTTTCAGTCACTGGACCCGCAAATTTCTGGCGTTTTTCGTCTGGGTTCAGTCTTTTCTTCTTTCTCTTTTTTTTATTTGAGGGTTGCCTTCTTGTTAGTTGAGAGAGAAGTATAAAAAGAGAAGTTGAGAAAGAAAGAGAGATAAGCGTTTTGAAGAAAAGTACAAATGACTTATTTTAGTTTGAATCCTTTTTATTTTTTTTGTTTGTATATTTTTATATTTTATTTTAATTGGGACTCCCTGCATTACATAATGAAAGAGTGAAGGAGCTCACAAGGAAGATAATGTAGGTGAGCATTTGCTGTCCTGGTTGTAGGGGGGGGTGCCAAAGTTTACGTTTTACCACAAGCACAGTTAGCATTGAAGTATGATGATGATCATCACACCCATACATACATACATACATACATACACAAATTCAAATTATACAACAACAAGCATTCATTGGATAATAAATCAACACTACTGTGTAATGGACAATTTATAAATCGCAGCTATGCGACAATTTTATAATCGCTATATTTTCATATAGTCGATTTCGTGGACTTTTGGGAGAATCAGATCCCAGAAGCTTTCGTGAGTCTCTCCAAAACTTATTTTTTATTGAAATAAAATTATGTAAAATTTAAATAAATTATATAATTATTTTAAAATTTTGGCTTTTAAACAAAATTTCTTTTAATTGCTCTTTAAAACAATTATAGTAAAAAAAATCTCTTAGGAAACTGGAAAATGTTAATATTCAATAAATAAATGCATTTTTAAATCCATTTACATTTACAATATATAATAATTTTAACATAATTATAATTAAAAAATAATAAAAATTATATTATGATAATAATTTTAAATCCATTTCCAATATATTTTCTGTTTTTCCAATATTACCGTTTCTTGGTTGAAGATCGAATTTAATTTTTATTTGATCTTCAACCACGAAAATATATTGGAAATCTGTCCAACACTGACTGAACATGGGCAAGATCTTCTCGAAACAAAATGTCATGATGAAATTAAATAAGTGGGGATTAAAACAAATCTAAAAAGATATTTTTTATACCAAGATTTTCTAAAAAAAAAAAAAAAAAAAAAAAAAAAAATTCAAAAATAATAATATCCATTTGTGAATAAGTTCTGAAAGTTTCATTAAAATCTGACAATTATTTGATTTTTGAAAGAATTCTGTAATCTTGGCTGACGCAAAAAACAAAATTTTTAACTAAAATTTCGAACGGGCTAGAAAAGATTTAAAGATATTAATAAAATAATAAAAACAATAATTTCTTTCCTCTTAATAATAACAAACATTTTGACGATAAAAAATTGTTTCTATTAAGTTTGTGGGCTTTTTTCGTCAGGGTATGTTCTTTTTTCAGCGAATTTATGGAGTTGCCTAGGTACCTTCATGAAATCGCTAAAAAAGAGCATAAGTAAAAAGGTTCTTAAGCTTGATGAAAATAATTTTTCTTTGTCTAAATGTTTAAAAAGAAAGATCAAAGTTTTTTTTTATTATTTTTTTTACATATTTTTTTCATCATTCTGATCACGTCCGAAATTTTCGTTAAATTTTTTTTTGTTGCCAGAAAAATTGACACAAACGTAAGGTTTAAATGTATTTTTCATAGATGAAAAATCCTTTTTGAAGCTTTCCCTCAGCTTCAATTGAAAGCTAAAGGATTAAATTTTCTAATTCCTGAAAACAAAATACTGTGGTGTATTTCAAGTAAAAATTATAATGTTTTTTTTAGTCGATTTTTCAGAAAAACAAATCGAAACGGCCATTTTTAAATTTAATTTTAAATTTTTAGAAGAGATTTTGAACGAAATAAAGATATACATAAAATAAAACAGATATTTAATTAATATTTTATCTATTTTTCGAAACATATTAACAATTTTAATCAATAAATAATAAACATATAATTTCAGTAAGGAAAATTAAAATGGATTTTCATTTTTCTTGTCTGTTTTTCTTACCCGTCGTCTATGGATGGACATGGTTTTCTTGTCCAAATCCTTCCTTCTTCTTTCCGAAATACGTCCAAATATTGCATTTTGGGTCCAACAACTACGTTGACATTATTTTTCAAAATTATTTTATCCACATAAATAAAACAAAAAGGGGGAAAAATTACAATAAAAAAAAAAACAACTTGTCCGAACTTGTTTTGTTGATGTTGTGATGTTACAAATTCTTAAATGTTTCTAAAAAGAAAAACCGTTCTTTTGCAAACTAAACATGTTAACAAAATAAAAATCGATATTATTCGATTTCAAGTCCTTGATAAATATAAGATACAATTTGTATAAATAAATATTCTTTATGATCGACTTAAACCGAATTGCGAAAATCGGTTTAGGGGAAAAAAAAAGCACTTTACAAGATTTAAAATTGAAACTGTTCGCATCTTAACGGTGACAGGGAAACACATGTCCCTAGAAAAATATTATCCGAGAAATTCGTCTGCTTAACAATTATTGGCCGTGCGTTTGTTTGATGATGAGATGAGGTGCTGCAGGCAGACACACAACCAGGAATATAGGAACCGACTGTAATTCATGTTGGGGTTACTACTTTATATTTGATTCATACAGTAGTACAGGGTGGTTTAAAAGTCTTGTCACCTACTACCAAAAAGTAATGAGAACAACAGAAGAACAAATAATACAGTAATACAGTAATGCAAAGCATATGTACTGGATTCAGTTTATTCATTTTCATTGATGCAGTCACACATTAAGATGACAAGGCTTCATCTAAGAAATTCACTCAACTTAACACTACTACTACTACTAGTAGTAGTAGTACTACTACTACTACTAGGTGTAAAGAAGCAAGAGAAATAATATGAAAGATAGTCTAGTCAAAAATGAATAATAATGACAAGACTTCATCTAAGAAATTCACCCAACTTAACACTACTACTACTACTACTAGGTGTAAAGAAGCAAGAGAAATAAGATGAAAGAAAGACAAGTCACCAATGAATAATAATGACAAGGCTTCATCTAAGAAATTCACCCAACTTAACACTACTACTACTACTACTACTAGGTGTAAAGAAGCAAGAGAAATAAGATGAAAGAAAGACAAGTCACCAATGAATAATAATGGCAAAGATTCTAAGAAATTCAAAATGAATAACTACTATGTAAAGAAGCAAGAGAAATAAGATGAAAGAAAGATTATCAAAAATGAATAATAATTCATCTTCATCTAAGAAATTCATCCAACTTAACACTACTACTACTACTACTACTACTAATACTACTAGGTGTAAAGAAGCAAGAGAAATAAGATGAAAGAAAGACTAGTCAAAAATGAATAATAATGACAAGTCTTCATCTAAGAAATCCATACAACTTACAAATAAGCTAAACAGAAAAAAGTTAACAGGTGAAATATGTAATAAAGTTTGTAAAGGACCCAAAATTAATATTAAGGCTGATAACAAATATTCTATAAATCTTGAATCTTGTCACAGAATTTTTAAACAAAGTTGTCAATCTCTGACAATACCAAGACAGGATGAGAAAATGAAACTTTATATATAGTAAATAACAATCAAACACTAATTATTTACATTGGAACATTTGTTGAGAAAATTTCAAAATAATATTAAGCTCATGCACAAGGGAGCTGTCTTCGCAAGCAGTACATCACCTTTGGGAGTAGGCCAGGTTTAATGCGTGATGCCTGAGGCATCCCCAAAAGGGGAAGTGTGTTTTCGTGTTTTCAAGATAACAGAGGAAAATAAGTAAGGAAGACAAACTCGTAGGTAAGTAATGAAATAGATGTTCAACTACATGAATGTACAATTAGCACTGGACCTAACTCTGCTTATTTACATAAATGATTCCATTAATTTATGTCCTATATGACACTCTCCTAGTTTGTTTGGATCTATCTAACTATATCTCTATCTATCTCTTTTCTGTCTATCTATCTCTACTAGTCTGTTCTTGTCTGTCTATCGATCTATCTGTTGTATCTCGTGTTTTCGAGATAACTGAGGGAAATAAATATGGAAGACAAACTCATAGGTAAGTAATAAAATAGAAGGTTTACTACACAAAGGTACACTTAGCAATTGACCCAAAGGTAACTCTCCACAACTCCGCTTAACTCCGCTTATTTACATAAATGGACAATTCCATTCATTTATGTCCAATATGACAAAGTGCCAAAGGGTCTTGGGAAATTTTTCCATGGTATTCCCATTAAGCCCACTTTAAACTGACGTAGTGTTACATTTGCTAGTGATGTAGACATTTCAAAAATACATATTTACATGTGAACTATTGTCCCTATCTTTGTTGTTATTATCACAATGTTTCAATCAATGTGCCCTCTAGCCTTCACCAGTTGCTTCTTGATCCAGCTAACATTCTGGTAATTTCAAACTGAATCCTTTATTCAATCTACAGGAGTAGATTGTTCTTATTCTGTTGTCCATGTCTAGGGATATCTCGTTTTGTTATTATTTAGTACTAATCGGTTATTGCCTACCCTGTTTCCACTGAGTCTGTATCTGAATTACACGGTCCAGGGATTGAACCCACAATTGATATAACATTAAGTGTGCAAACTGATGATTTAATCAACTAAACTATCGGGACAATCCTGAGTCTAGAACCTGGAGCCTTAAACCTAATTTCATTTTTTTTTAAGCAATTCACCCCAAGCAAAGCAGGAGTGCCACTATTACACAAGGAGCCACAGAGAGTGTAAGTGAAAAGTCTGGGTATGCGGGGGGGGGGGATGGATAAAAAAAAAGAACTGAGGAGAATAAAAAGAAGAATGGGGATCAAGGCAACAGAAGATGTCGATTGACATTACATTTAAATTTTTGGAGATTAGTTATCAGGGAAGCAAGTAAGAGGAAGGGAGTTCCACTGTCAGGAAGCATGAGAGAAGAAGCTGCTGGAATAGAAGACACTGTTGCATTTAACTGTTTTGACAGTAAAAGGGTGAGACTGAGATGCCAACTTAGTAACACACTTAAATTCATGCAGTTTGGGAACATAGTCAGGGAAAATTAGCTTGTCAGAGCAGATGCCATGAAAATATTTATAGAAAAGGCAGAGGGAAGCCACATTACATTGGTGAGAAAGTGACTGGAGCTGAGATCCCAAGTCAAGAATGATCACATTGCATATCCGTCTTTGGATTTTGTTGAGAATCTCAAGATGAACAGCAGAGGTGGTTGATGGGTTGGGGGGGGGGTCTGATTGGCACCAGACCATATATGGCAATGGTATTCCAAACTAAACATAACAACTATTATTAGACATAAGTAGAATATTATTGCCATATATTTCTGCACATAAGGTGACCTTTAAATCTTAAAAATTAACCCCCAAAATAATGTAAATAATGTAAGTCAGGGTTCGGCAAACTTTTGCAGAGAGCGGATCACACAGCTATGCAGTGTTTTGGTGGAGAGCCATGATATCAAATTTACAATGCTAAATTGTCTCAAACTCTGACCAATCTCTCCAGAAAGCTGACTTGGTTTGGGGGTTTAAAGAAAAAACAAAAAAGTTGATGTTAGATTATTTAAACAAGGTTCCTTATTTTACTGCAGGAATAACAGGATAACAGAAAATGTAAATTTCTTACTTCAGTTGTCAGGCCAGACAAAAATCCTTTGCGGGCTGGATGTGGCCCAAGGACTGGGGGTTGCCAACCCCTGATGTAAGTAATCATAATACCTAGACGATTGTATTATTTTTTAATATTTACCTTTGTTGTGGTAGGATCCACCTAATTTGCATAGTGGAGTACCGACCATATAAATATGGTTGGTACCGGGAAGAGAGTGAGGAATCAAGAGATCCAATCCAGAGACTCTGCCCGACTGCGACTCAGTCAACACATTCTCCAGGAACAGTCTTACCAGGAATATACAAAAGACTATATGTAAATATTGTGTACACTTTCTTGTTTCAATACATTTTGTTCTAAGTACATTTTGTGTTGCATTATTATTCCATGCATTAGTCAAGTTTCAACAACCTTTTAATTATTTCTATATAACTTTACATTTTTTTATACAATCCCATTTTTTTGCAATCATTTTTTTTTATTAGTGCTTTTTTAAAACTTTCAAAAGCTATATTTTGCCTTTGAGTCCATTTAAATTCTTCTTCTGTAATTCTGCAAATTGTTCTGTTAGGTTGCTGTATGTTTGTAGATATTTGCTATAAAATTGGTCAATTCCAAAAAGGATACTAATTCTTTTTTATTTTTTGGTGTCGATACTTCCAATATTTTATTTATCAGTTTATTGTCTGGTGAAATTCCCTTACATAATTGGAATCCCAAATATATTTTGTCTCAATTTGACTCACATTTATCGCTATTTATCGTCATACCAGCATTTTTGAATTTGTTTAAAACTTGTTCATTTTTTTTTTAATTCCTCTTTACTGTAAGCACCTATGCATATATTCTCTTGATATACGATTATATTTTTTACTCCCTCTGATAGAACTTTTTGAAAAATATGGCTTGAAGTCTTAACTCCAAACGGAAGACAAGTCACATGTAGTTTGTAATCCCTGCATATCCTCAAATCCCCATGGGGCTTTTGTATCGCAACAATTGGTGAAGCCCAAATGCTACTACCTTGGATGACTTTCTCTATTATTTCTTCTTCTACCATTTTCTTTAGTTTTGTAACTACCAGGGGTAGAATGTGAATAGGTATTTTTCGAGATTCAAAATAAACTGGGTGACTATTTTCTTTTAGACAAATACTCACTTTATATCCTTCAAGTTCTTCTGATTTTATACTTTTTATTAATTTTGCCATATCTGCTTTTAAAATGTCTATTCCCAGGAGTCCAGGATTTTTGTGCATTCTATAACAGAGATGGGAATAATCTCAAAATGGTTTTTCTCTTGAAAGTTCTTCAAAAGGAGCCAAGATTTTTGATGACTCATCCTTCAAATTGTTTTAAATTAAGATTACTTTTTGTTTTTATCAAATACGTGGGAACATTGTTATTATTATAAAGATAAAATATAAAATAATAATGATGATGAAAA